GATACTAGCCCTTTATCTGATATGTCATTTGCAAATATCTTCTCCCATTCTGTCGGTTGTCTTTTGGTTTTGTTGACTGTTTCCTTTGCTGTGCAAAAGCTTTTTATCTTGACGAAGTCCCAAGAGTTCATTTTGCCTTTGTTTCCCTTGCCTTTGGAAACGTGTGTAGCAAGAAGTTGCTGTGGCTGAGATCGAAGAGATTGCTGCCTGTGTTCTCCTCAAGGATTTTGATGGATTCTTGTCTCACATTGAGGTCTTTCATCCATTTTGTGTCCAGTTTTGTGTATGGTGTAAGGAAATGGTCCAGTTTCATGCTTCTACATGTGGCTGTCCAATTTTCCCAACACCATTTGTTGAAGAGACTGTCCTTTTTCCATTGGATATTCTTTCCTGCTTTGTTGAAGATTAATTGACCATAGATAGAGTTGAGGGTCCATTTCTGGGTTCTCTATTCTGTTCCATTGATCTATGTGTCTGTTGCCAGTACTATACTGTCTTGATGATTACAGCTTTGTAATAGAGCTTGAAGTCCAGAATTTGATGCCACCAGCTTTGGTTTTCTTTTTCAACATTCCTTTGGCTATTCAGAGTCTTTTCTGGTTCCATACAAATTTTAGGATTATTTGTTCCAGTTCTGTGAAAAAAGTTGATGGTATTTTAATGGGATTACATTGAATGTGTAGATTGCTCTAGGTAGCATAGACATTTTCACAATATTTGTTCTTCTAATCCATGAGCATGGAATGTTTTTCCATTTCTTTGTGCCTTCCTCAATTTCTTTCATGAGTATTCTATAGTTTTCTGAGTACAGATCTTTTGCCTCTTTGGTTAGGTTTATTCCTAGGTATCTTACAGTTTTGGGTGCAATTGTAAATGGGATCGACTCCCTAATTTCTCTTTCTTCTGTCTCATTGTTGGTGTATAGAAATGCAACTGATTTCTGTGCATTGATTTTATATCCTGCCACGTTGCTGAATTCCTGTATGAGTTCTAGCAATTTGGGGGTGGAGTCTTTTGGGTTTTCCACTAAGAGTATCACTTATGTCTCATTTTAACAGTGTTTTATTTGGAGTTTGTCATTCTTACACAGAATTATATACCTTTATTCTCATTTCAGATGTTAAAATTAGGCTCCTGTTAAGTGAGCTAGAATGTGTCTGTCATGTTGAGTGGGGGAGGAATATCAGTGTTCTACAATGTGCAGTATATATAAATAAGATCATGGGCTTTGAAACAAGACACCTGTGTGTTCCTCTCAGCTTCACTTACTAGTTGTCTTCTTTGGGCAAGGTACTTAAACTCTGTAGAACTCAATTTTATCACCTCTAAAAATGAAGATGCCAAGGTTATTGTGGGGATTAATGAAAGTGCATGTAAAGTGCTTGACATAGTGCCTGGCATACGGGAAGTTAAGCATAATGGGGTCCCTGGCATTGAAGATGTTCAGACAAAATCTGTGACCTGCCATTATTGTGATAACAGTGAGATTCTGCAACTATAAATATATATGTCAGTATATTAATTTTAAAATCAGCTATGTTATAAATATGCTTTAGTATTTTAGTTATTAGAAATAAATATTAAGTAATTAATAATTTTTAAATTCTTGAAACTAGCAGAGTTTTTTAGATTACTTAGATAGCCTAACCTTTATTTCCCCTCTCCATCAGTGATACTGAAAGGTAGCAGAGAGTTTTTTTGACCTTGACTTTCAAGCTTCATTTCAAAATTGAAATGATTCTTATGAGAGGCAGAAAGTGGTTACTACCTTAAATAATCTTACAGCATTTGGTATAAGTACCTTAATTTGGGAAGTCTGATGAGCAAGTTTCTTGAAACTGAACCTCTTTGTTGTCTCTTCATTCTCTTTCCTGGTCCTAACTTCAGCATTATCACCTTTTCCTATCTAGTATTTCCTTTCTTAACCAGTTAAAATCAATTACTTGCCAACCATGGTACTGGCAGCATTGTAAACCTGGCTTAGAAGAGATAAAGCTACAGCAGTAAAAGGACAAATGGTCTAAAGTAGACATTTGAGTTAACAGTGAGCCCGTCCATCCTCATTCCTTTATGCCTTTTTACTGTATTCTTTTATTCTTAACAGAAGAATTTTCTACTTAGTGGTGGTTTAGAGCTGTTACAGTGTTTCTTCTTATTTTATGTATTTTTTCAAAGTATAGGTAGCTATAAATTACATGGAGGGAAATGACATTTGTTTTTGTAATTTAAAAAAATGTCTAAATGATAGAAAATAAAAAGAAGGAAATGAGTAAAACTATGATTTATATTTACTAAGGTTTTATATAGAACTTACAAAAAATAATTTGTTTCAGAATTTTAGGCTTCGGGTGCCTGGGTGGCTCAGTCGTTAAGCGTCTGCCTTCGACTCAGGTCATGATCCCAGGGTCCTGGGATCGAGTCCCACATCGGGCTCCCTGCTCTGCGGGAAGCCTGCTTCTCCCTCTCCCACTCCCCCTGCTTGTGTTCCTGCTCTCGCTATGTTTCTCTCTGTCAAATAAAAAAAAAAAAAAAAAAAAAGAATTTTAGGCTTCATTATCTTACAGAATTGTCTTTAATTAATATACTAACCTAAAATATTTACAGACTCATTTAAGGCTTTCTTATGTAAATTACATTGTAAAAATAAGGTACTCTAACTGATTTGACGTTTTTGCTTATTGGTTCCTTATTTCTCATAAAGGTCATTTGAAAAAGTTAACTTTAATTTTATGTTGTTCAACATAAAGGAGAAAAGAAGTCAAGTCAAAAAAAAGAAAGGATAAAACCAAAAAAGATTATGAAGAGTCATCACATAAAAAATCTGGATTATCTTCTGCAGAAGAGACCTCTAAGAAAAAGGAAAAAGGTACAAGGGAATTAAAATATAATAACCTACTCACTTTTTTTTTTTTTTAAAGATCTTATTTACTTATTTGACATAGAGAGACACAGTGAAAGAGGGAACACAAGTAGGGGGAGTGGAAGAGGGAGAAGCAGGCTTCCCGCTGAGCAGGGAGCCCGACGTGGGGCTCAATCCCAGGACCCTGAGATCATGACCTGAGCTGAAGGCAGATGCTTAATGACTGAGTCACCCAGGCGCCCCCCTACTCACATTTTTTAACATGAAATGTAATCTGCTATATGTGTCAAATGTAGGATTTAATTGGTGAATGCATTTAGATTTCTGTTTTTTACTAGATGAAAGAGGGGGGCGCCTGGGTGGCTCAGTCGGTTAAGCGTCCAACTTTTGATTTTGGCTCAGGTCATGATCTTGGGGTTGTGAGATCGAACCCCAGGTCAGGCTTGTGGAGGGCATGGAGCCTGCTTAAGATTCTCTCTCTCCATTTCCCTCTGCCCCCGCCCCCGCTCATTCTCTCTCTCTCAAATAAAAAATAAATCTTATAGTAGCTGAAACTGGTTGGGGAATTTATAAGATTTTTTTTTAAGAGAAGGGGGGAGGAACAGAGGGAGAGGGAGAGAATCTTAAGCAGGCTCCATGCCCAGCGTGGAGCTGGAGCACAGCACAGAGCATGATGCGGGGCTTGATCTCAGGATCCTGAGATCATGACCTGAGCCAAAATCAAGAGTTGGACACTTAACCAACTGAGCCACCCAGGCACCCCCTGGTTGGGGAATTTAGATATAAATTTACAGCAGCTTATAAGAGTTTCAAGAACAAGGTTGGTTTTAATTCATTTTGGGTAGATAGTAATAATATTGCAAACAACATTCCCCTTCTTCACTTTGTCTCTTATAGACTCATTACCTTGAGCAAGTCCCTGAACTTCTTCAGTTTTATATTCCTCATATAAGTAGGGGTGATGTGACTATCTGGCTTCTGTACTGTTTGAGCTTATTGTGGAGAACCAAATAAGAATGTGAAAGGCATTTTGAACACTGTAAAACAGTACATAATCTATGTCAGTATAAAATTATAACACTGGGATTTCATTACCATGGCCTATGTGATTTTCTCACTAGCTTATGAGTTTGAAATCATGGAGCTTGATATGCATGTGTCCTCAGAACCTAGCATGGTGCTGTGCACATACACTTAGTAAATAATTGTTAAATTCAAATCCATCAGTCAGTCACTTACTTCTTCTTCAGTAGTGCTTAAGCTCTCTTAAGCCGTAATTTCTTCATGTGTGAAATGTTTATGCTCACATTTCCTAGCTCATAGGATTGTTCAGAAGTTGAAAGGAGATAAAGGATTTAAGCAGTTTGCATGGTGCTTGGCGCATAGTTAGCTATTTTGAAGGTTACTGCTAGTTTCTTTTTCAGTCCATAATAGAGTCAAATTGGCTATAATTTAGAGTGAATCAAACTTAAATTATGTAGTTAATGGTAGATTACATTAGATTCAGCCAAATGTTAACACAGTATTTGGACAGGAGAGGGCTCCCTTGCTCCAGCTATGAAGATTAGTAGCTAGGTTTCATTCTTACATATACTTTTTTCTAGTGAATCAAACCTGTTCAAGCATATAGTATCACCAAGTTTTCGACTTGGTGAAACTGATAGATGGTGAGAGGAAAATACTGTTCTTGTTTATTGAGAAATGGTATTTGAAGCAGAATGCCTTTTTGTGTCTAAATCATTTCCCAACTCTAAAATATATGTTAATTAATAAATGTGAAAATTCCATTTGAGTTTGAAAAATTTTTTTTATTGTGTTTTATTTTTTATTTTTTTAAAGATTTTATTTATTTGAGAAAGAGTGAGAGACAGAGAGATCACAAGCAGGAGGGAGGGGTAGAGGGAGAAGCAGACTCCCTACTGAGCGGGGAGCCCAATGCGGGACTTGATCCCAGGACCCTGGGATCATGACCTGAACCAAAGGCAGAAGCTTAACCGACTGAGCCACCCAGGTGCCCGAAAAATTTTTGTTTTAAAAATGTTTAATGTATCATACTTGAGAGTTTTCTATTCGTTATTGTATTATATAATATTGTATTCTTATAGTATGATACCGTGTGGATCACTACATATTCCAAATTAAAGAATAATTCCTACCTTGTAAAATCTTGTTTAGTACCTTCAAAGCAGACAATTAGCTGGATACTCAGGATCGGGTATGGGGTTGGAACCCTCAGATTATACATACATATGCATGTGATCTTCCTTATAGATGTTTTCCCTGTAGTGTTCCATATTTCAGTAGATGACACCTCTGTCAACCTAAAACCTAATCAGATATCTGGAAATTATGCTCGACGTCTTCTTATTTCTCATTATTTATGTTTAATTTGTCACCAAATCCTGTCAGTTTTACCCCCAGGGTATATATTTCTCGAATTCTCTCCACCCGAATTCACACCACCATGTTTTCTCATCTAGACTACTGCTATATTGTCCTTCTAGTTCTGCCACTGTCTTGTCATCCCACCTACTCTCCCCTTAAGGCATTCTCAATAAAGCGGTGATTGTCTGTTGTTCTTAGGATATTACCAAAATCTGCACAAAGCCCAGGTGCTCTATGTGATCCATCATACAACACTTGTTTCTTGCCATACTCCACCTCACTTTCTCACTCCACGCTCACAGCCTTTCAGTTTCTAGAAAATGCCAAACTTCTTTCCATTTAGGGACTATGTAGATGCTGCTTCCTCTCTTTCCAACCCCCCGCCCCCCACTGCCAGGTCCCATCCTAACTCATCCTCTGGGTCTAAGTTTAAATGTCACTGATCCTTTCCTGATTCCATCCCTCACCATGAATTTAAATTAGTACTTCTAATTAGTATCCCCAGCACCCCACTAGCACATGTAAGGTATAAGTAATAAAGAATGAGGAAATGAAAGACTTTGAAGATTGTTTCATGACAACTTCAGGGATAGAGAACTAAAGCAGAGTGGAATTGAGATAACTGTTTCTCATTTATTCTTTATTTAGAGCACCTTTGATAGCAGAGAGTACAGGATAAAGTTCTTCTTTTCAACTTCTGTGGTGTAAAGCAAATGACATTTTAGCAAACTTAAGAAAACCATGTGGAACTCTGTAATATCTTTGTATCTGGGATCATCTGGAACTAGCTTGATTTTGATGTGATACTTTATAGCCAGACTACCTCAATTTGTCCCAAACTTGAATAGTAATTAATAAATGCTTCATATCTCAGCTGCATTTGAACTGTTGACAAAACTAAAAACAGTCTACTTTCTTGATTTCCTTCCTATCTTTGTGGCCTCTCCTCTGCCTCTTGATATAGGTCCTTCTCAGTCTTACCCTTAGATGTTGGAGTTGCCCAAGGCTCTTACTGAACTTCTCTTCTTTCTCTCTGTTCTCCCTGTATGATCCCACCTACTCCTGTAGTGTCAGTTTACAACCATACAAAAACTAAGTGGGTGGATGGATGGATAATTGGATAGCTAGATGGCTGAATGAATGGATAGAGAGAACATGCAAGAAAGACCAATAGCTTGACTTTGAGGACCAGTCTGCTTTGGCAGGTCTGAGCAGAACAAGGTACTTAGGTAGAGTGTCTTGGCCAAAAGTTGAGGATCTTATCACTCCCACCACTACCACTGCATCCCCAAGCTCACTTCCTTGGGAAGGCCTTTGCTGACACCCTTCAGCCCACTCCTCCAAGCAAGGTTAGGTCCCTGTTACACATTCCAGTAGCACCCTGCACTTATTTAGACATACATAATCAATCACCCTTGGAATAATTTGCTTATTTTCTGTTAAGGAAGGGACTGTGTGACTTATTTAATTCTTTATCTCCAGTTTCTAAGCACAGTGCTTTCTCCACATAGTAGGTGTTCAGTAAATGTTAGGTGAGTGAGTGAATCAGTGAAACAACAGTTTCTCAACGTTGAAAGGAACATCAGAGATCGGCTCTGGGATCATGATCAAAAAGATATTCTATGGTTTTGCTTTTCAAAGTATGGTCGTCTGCCATTGTCATCACTTGGGAACTTGTTAGAAACGCACTGTCTCAGACCCTTCCCCAATCTCCTGAATTACAATTGCATTTTAAGTTCTGGGATGATTCATATGCACCATAAAGTTTGAGATGTACTGCTCTATATCAGGTACTTGTTCTGCTTTTGCTTCAGCACCTCCAGGGAAGAGGAACTTAACTACCATCCTGAATATTATTTTACATTTCAGTTAGTTGTAATTGCTAGCAGGTACCTCTTTAATTTAGCCCAAATCTACAATTTCTTCCCTTTGGTTCCAGTTATGTCCTTAGGCCTCCAAAGTAAACCTAACCTCTTTTTTATCTATAGACATTTGGAAGCGGGCATTATGTTCCTCATATGACAGAGAAGAATTTTGTCACCAGCTTAGCTATATTTTTATTTGTTTTCTGATGAGTAGGAAATTGGAGTGAAGAAACAATAAGCTAAAAACAAAACAAAAAAGAAACAATGACCTAAAGCTGCAGTCCAGGCCTTGGCTTCCTGTGGAGTCTTTACCCTGTGGTTCTGACACCCTATTCATTGGGCCTGAAAGGGGCCATGTATGCACCAGCTTTGGTTTATGAGATCCCCAATCCAAGGAAGTTGGAGGAATTGGTACTCTCCATCTGTTATCTATCATTTTTTTTAAAGATTTTATTTATTTATTTGAGAGAGAGAATGAGAGAGAGAGAGAGAGCACATGAGAAGGGGGAGGGTCAGAGGGAGAAGCAGACTCCCTGCTGAGCAGGGAGCCCGATGCTGGACTCAATCCTGGGACTCCAGGATCATGACCTGAGCTGAAGGCAGTCGCTTAACCAACTGAGCCACCCAGGCGCCCTATCTATCATTTTTTTGATTTACCAGCCTTCAAAATCATTTCCCTTGTGGTCTTATTACAGGAGACTCTGTAGAATGATGATTTTTTAAAATTACGCTAGTAGATTTTTAGTACTTTTTTCTTTCTGTTTCTCTGACTGGATAACTTGTAGAACTGAAACTTTGTTTTGTCAAGTAATATTTTGTGTGAATTTTAGTTACTAAGAATTCTCATCTGTATATGAAAAAGTATTATGAAAAATGAGTATTTACAAACTACTTTCAGATGTTGAACATCTATAGATAAAATATGGTTAAATTGCAACTAATCTATGAGGTTTTTTTTTTTTAGCAACATGAGATTTTTTTTTTTTTTTACAGGTGTTCATATTTTTTAAGCTGCACATTGTGCTATGTATTCCAGGCATAAAATACCTCTGCCTAAGAGAACCTAACATTTTAATTAGAGAGATAAGTCTGAGGAACATGAAAGATTAGAAGAGTGAGGTGCTTTTCTGTAAGACTATAAAGTAAACTAGACTCTTAGGAAGAATTCTAGTTACAGCTATAACTGTTGCACCATTGCAAAATGATTTTTAACAAAACAATGCTGTTTTCTTTTCAGGGCATTCATCCTCAAAGAAGTCAGAAAATTCTGTAAACAGTAAGTATCTAGTATTTCTTTAATAAAAATACATAGATTCAAGTTATTCACAGTTTGGGTTTCCCATCAATTGTGACTTGCTCTGATATATTATTTTTTGGTTTGGTACTATGTAAAAAAATCATAGAAAAAAATACCAAAAGTGTATGATTTCTTCCCCAATTTTGAACATTTTAAACTTTCTTATTTTAAAATAGAAGAGTGTAAAATTTCTTCAGTAAATACAATGGATATACAATTTAATTTCACTTTATAGAATATGAAGGAAGAAAAGTAGAAGGATGAGGTTGGAATGGAAAAAGAATTGGGGAAGTGGATTAAGATTTAGGAAATGTTGCTTATATTGTATACTGAGTAATCTCTGTTATTTGCTGATCTTGATTGATCAAATGAAATGTGTGGTTTGTATATGGAAAATAAAATGTTGGCAACTGGTTATTACTGGTTAGTTTTTTTAATAAGTACTGTGGTTTTCACCAGATTGTATCAAACCAGATTGGATTTTATTGGATATTTGCCACAGATTATTTTTTCCCCTGCAACATTCCAAAAAACATTCAAATAACTTATAAATACAATAAAATAAGATTTTAAAAAGTAAAATCAGGATAATGGAAAAATAAGATAGAATAGCAAAGTAAAGCTATTTACTTTGTTAATTTTTAAAATTAACAAAGGTAAAATTAACACATAAATGTTTACTAAAAAGTCCTGCATAATTACAAAGGTAGAACACACATTTGTCACTGTTCTTCTAAACAACCAAACCAAAGAGGGAAACCACCAGTAGAATGATTAATTGTACCCATATAATCATATGCAGGGTATTCATCTTTTTCCGGTCAGAGTTCTGAGAGCAGACTCTCCCGTGGGCTCATAAAAGGGGCATCCACCTGTGAGATAACAAACAGTAGCCTTGCATCTCAATAGTAATACAGTGTCATTTCTTAAAGACTTGCAGTAGGGTTAGGGCTAATGATAAAGTGTAGTTCAATAGCCTTTCTAATTCATTTTATAATATCTGGACTTATTTTATGAGACTTCTAGGCTTGGAAATTTGTAAACTTAAGCATTAATTTTTGTTCTGATTTAAAGTAATATATATTTACTGTGGCAAACTCAGGAAAAAAAAATTAGTAATTCCTCCAAATCCCACCATTCAAAGAGAAACATTATTAGCATTTTAATATAATTCTTAAGGAGAATTTCTGAGTAGTCAGTAATCAGAAATTTTGCACTGTGAGAAATAGAAAAAGAGACGTTTTAAGATATTTACTGTTTAAAGATTTAATGGAGAAGGAGGTGTCAGTGGAGGCATTCCTCTAGTTTAGGGATACAGCATATTCCTTATAAATTATTTTGCTCATACCAATTTTGTTTTCAGCATATTTGAAGTGTCCTAAAGCACTGATGCTTTGTTTCTTCCCATGTGAATCCTAATTGATCTGTAGCTCCTTTTCCTAAATTAGGTGAAGTGTAGTGACAGTTTCTAGAACATAGCCGGATGCTATCTGGGCTGAAGTAGTGTGTGTGTGTGTGTGTGTGTGTATCTTTCATTTCCACTTGGATAATGTTCAGTTACCCTTTTACCACCATTTAACGTATGGATTATTAAAACTAAATCTATGAAGAAAAACCCAATTTCTGTGGGGAAAAGAATTTTAACTTGGATTTGTTGATTATTTACTCTATCAGCCAAAATGGCAAGTGGTTTACTTGTATTACCTTATTTAATCTTAATAATGGGCATGTAATATCCCATTTTGCAGACAGGAGAACCGAGACCCAGAGAATTTACATAAAATGCCAAAGATCTAGTAGTTGGTTAATAGCAGAGTGTAGATGAAACACAGATTTATAATTCCACAAAGTCTGTGTCCCTTTACCTATATCATCAATAACTGTTCAGTGAATCAAATGTAAGTCTACTCTTTATACCCCAATTTGGGCAGATATATTCTATAAATCTGCATTAAATGATTTGATCTGTCTCAGGTCTATATGTAAGGTAGGTATAAGGAGACTTCACTTTATTATTATCAGAGCCAGATGAGACAGTATGTATGTACAGCACATGTCCCAATGCAAAGTACTTCTTGATAACTTGTAACTGTTATCATTGTTACAGAAAGGAAAAAAAAACACACATTAAATAGATTCTGTGTTTTGTTCTCTAGAATTGGTCAAATCAAAAGTTAAGTCTGTAAAAGTTTGGCCCGTCCATTTGTTATCATAATTGGAGACTTGCCACTTCTTCAGTAAGCCCAGATTATTTAGGTATCATATAATATCTAGAAAAACCAAGGTGATAGATCTGTTTTCATTATTCAAACATATAGGGAAAATTATATGCAATTTGCATTTTAGAAAGGAACATTGAAAACTTAAAGCAGGTCAAGAATGGAATAACCAGGGCATTGACAGAAAATTGTGATTGAAAATTTGTGTCATAGGAAGAAGGTTGAAGGAAATATAGATGTTTAGTTTGGAGAAACTTGTAGGGATGGGAGGGGAGGGATAAGGAGGTAGATAGGGAAACTGTAGATGTTTGTAAGACTGCTTTTGTGTAGGGGCGCTCAGATGGTTAAGCGTCTGCCTTTGGCTCAGGTCATGATCCCAGTGTCCTGGGATCGAGTCCCGCATCGGGCTTCCTGCTCCTTGGGAGCCTGCTTCTCCCTCTGCTTCTCTCTCTCTCTTCCTCTGTCTCTCATGAATAAATAAATAAAATCTTTAAAAAAAAAAAAAGACTGCTTTTGTGTAGGAGACTTATTTTTGATGACTATTTGGCAGAACTAGAGTCTCTGGATAAAAATTGCCCAGAGACAGATTTTTGCCTTAATTTAAGGAAAAACTTGTCAATTAGAACTATCTGAAGAAAGGGATGGAGGAATGGGCTGCTTCAGGAAGTAGTGAGGTGTTTAAGCATAGATTGGACATCCACTTGTCCTGGGAGATGTTGCAGTAAGAGATTTAATCATTTGATAAGGGCTAGATTATAGACCTGCAAGATCCCACACACAGTCAGTGATGTCCATTCCGATCCCCGCTCTCTAATAACTACTGCGTAGCTTTGACACTGATGCCAGGGCACCCGTTGGTTTTGCCTGTTCTGCTCATTGTGATTTCCTCCCCCTCCGGCCGGCTGTGGCAGTTACCATAGGAATGGTTTCTCTTCATTGCCGCTCTCAGGGGACTAGGATGCTATAGATTCACAATGTAGTCCAGTCTTCTAGATTTGAATCTCTGACAGTATTTGGCTACTTTTTAAGCATATGATCTTTCAAAGAGAGTTATTTTATAATATTCTAAACAGATTCGATCTTTTAGTAAAAGCGGGTTGTCTAGTATCTGAAAACGTGTAGGAAAGTTGGCATGTGGGGGGTACTCTTGAAAGGGAACAAGAATACAGATGGTTGTAAGGCCTTTTAAAATTAGCTGCCCACTTTCAAGGATCTTACAGGTTTTGTTCTTTGACATCATTAACAGGGTAACACTGTCATGTTAACTATTAGGCCTCATTAGTTTTTCCGTGCTTTCTTTAGCTCATGTTAGTGAGTTTTCATAAAAATAAGAGTAGAACACTTTTATTCTCTCTTCTCACACATTCAGTTTGGGACACTGGCAGTTTCAGTGCTGGTTGTCATTGAGTGGGAATCTGGTTCCCAAGGCTTTATAATTTTATCATCTTTTATTGTCTTTGTATGTAGATCATTATAAATACAACCCCTGGGGCGCTGGGTGACGCAGTTGGTTGTCAACTCTCGATTTCAGCTCAGGTCATGATCTCAGGGTTGTGAGATCGAGCCCCGTGTTGGGCTCTGCACTGGGCATGGAACCTGCTTAAGATTCTCTCTCTCTCCCCCTGTTCTGCTCCCCCCCAAAATACAACCCCTCTCCTTTTTTTTTTCCTGCCATTTTTGTTAGTTTTTGTGCCAGAATAGATGCAGTTAGGACCAAAGTTCAGACATGCATATTGATTCAAGGTCAAAGTCTAACAGGTAAAAGGCTAAAAACACTGTGGGCAAATCAATGCTGTTTTATTTTTTGTGTGTGTTAAGAGACATTCTGTATTGACAGGCTGAATTTGTGTCAGTTCTTTTTGAGACTAACTTACTGGAGAGGAACTTTTTGCTAATATAATTACTTTATGGCATATACTTTTATTGCCTTTTAATATCTTTTTCAGTATTTTGATAATTTTTAGTTCACTAATATAGGGTGATTTTTAAAACATGTCTGTTTTGTTATATTTTAAAAATAGAAATATCTTTATTGTTTTGACTGATTTTTAAAGGCAATACATGATCATTGTTTAAAATACAAGAAATTTGGAAATGTTTAAAGTAGAAAGTGAAAGTATCGCAGGCCACAGGTAATATAATCACTGTATGGTTGGTCCTTACAAACTTACAGTATATATACACACATATGTAATCATAAATCGGATTATACCATGCATGCTTTAACTTTTAAAAAATTTGGAATAACACAGACATTTTTCCATGGTAATACTATAGACGTGCTAAGGTTTTTTTTAACAGCTATATAGTATTAATTTAACCAATCCTTGATCCCTAATTGTGGGGTATAGGCTGTTTTCTTTTGTTGTTGTTGTTGTTATATAATGAACATCTTTGTACATGTATCTCAGGTGCTTATTTATTCTAAGTAAATAATTAAATTCTTAAAAGCAGCATTGCTGGTTAAAGGATATGTATATTTTAAACTGATCTTTGTTGCTAGATTTTCCTCAAGAAAAAAGTTTACAGAATTTTTACTTCTCTAACAATGTATGAGTATGCCTATTTCTTTACTGAAATCAGCTTCTTCTGATTAATCAGCATCAATTTTTAAAAACGTCTGACAATATTTTTTCATGATTTAACTAACTGGTCCTACCTATTAGTTCAGTTCTTGAGTTTTTTTTTTTTTTTTTTTAAGATTTTATTTATTTATTTGACAGAGAGAGACAGCGAGAGCAGGAACACAAGCAGGGGGAGTGGGAGAGGGAGAA